ATAATAATAATAATTAAAAATGTCAGATTTAGTTCTTAGCGAATAATCTTTCAACTTCGGTAACAGCTTCAGCTAAAACCTTTTCTTGGAACTTTGGATTTTCAATTGACTTGTTAACCTTGTCAATAACAGACTTGGCCAATTGTTCTTGTTCTAAAGCTCTTTGTTGTTGTTCAAATCTAACCCAGGAATCTAAGACAGACTTGGCTTCATGAGAAACGGCTAATTGTTGTTTTAAGACAAAGTTTTCAGCTTCTAATTGAGCAGTTTCCTTAGAAATGGAGAATAAAGCCTTAGTGGTTGGAACAACATCCTTTAATTGAGAAACGGCTTGAATTCTTTCGTTGACGTCAGCAACGTGCTTGACTCTGACGGAGTTTAAGATATCTTTAACCTTCTTGATTTCACTATCAGCCCATTCAGTATATAATGGGGCCACGAATTTGGCAACTAAGGCAACAAAGGTGGAGAAGGTAACAATTAAAATGGTTTCATCATGAATAACAAGAACACCGTTGGAGATGGCATAGACGGCGGCAGCAGCGGAGGTGGCTAAAACACCGGTCTTGGATAATAAGTTGTTACCTGGTAAGGCATCAATGATGGAAGAAGCCTTTTGCTTTGGATCAACTGGAGTGGTGGATGCAAATCTTATACCAATTCTATAGTTATTTAGTTAGTATATATATTCCAATTGATAACTTTCTGGTTTCTCCAAAGAGAAGGTCTTTCAATTCTGTTGTAAATGTGTAGACCTGTTGTTTGCTTCAAAATCGAATCGATGATCCCTCTTTGTATGTGTTTCGGAAAATGTGGAATTTGAGTTATTACATACGGTGCTGCTGAACGCATAGCCATACCCATAGTTGGGCGGGCAGCTCTCATAGCAATTCTGCTGATCATAGACATTGTTATATATATATGGCTAAAACTATCAAAAAGCTAGTGAGTAAGTTATCCTTTTTCACCTTGATTTTTTTTTCAGTGTATTTTCAATTTCTCGGTGTTGAACTGAAAAATTAAAAAAAAAGTTGCGAAACTCAATTTGATTGGAAGATGCTTGACTTCCTAAATAGGTAACATGTTCGCATTATTTTGTACATATCTATAAACAACACATTTTATCAATCAACTAGTACTACTATTTTTATATCTATCCAGAAGTATACTGTTAATAGCTCTTTCAGTTCTTATACTTGCTTTGTGATAATATGGTTTCAAATCATCTTTAAGGTCTTTCGTGTAGGATATCTTTTCTGGAATAGGATATTCGGAGGTTTCTATTAAATCATCATGTGCTTTTCTGAGTATTTCATCTTGTATTCTTTGCGATACGGCTTCTACTGTCTCTCCATTGGCAAGTTGAAACACAGGAGGTTTATGGGGTATTTCTGTATCTTCTTCCTTGGGTTTGTTATCACTATCCGTTGTACCTATTTGTACTTGTAAGGTTCGTTTATCGTTAAATGATGCCGTTTGTTGTGTTGATTGCTCGCCATCTTTCTGATTGTTCCTACTTCTCCTTAATGCTGCTAATCTTGCCTTTCTATCTTCACTAGATTCTGACATTGTAGATGTGTCAATTTGAATAATAATTATTAATTGGTTGGTTTGTTTATGTAAAATCTTGATATTGGTTTGGTCAGATTAAATTTTTCTGGTGATGTGTTGCAAAACTTTTTAATCAAACCGTAAGGACGGCCAATCAACAATGACAATATTGAACAGCTTAGAGGAATTTCTTGAAGGAGAAGAACAAGAATCCAGCTATGGTATGTAATTCACTGTTTCCAAAATATTTGAATATGGAAAACTTACTAACATTCACCTTAGAAGATTCTTCATCCCAATCGACCCCAACCGTGGTTGCAAATCATGCAATTGAACCCCCATACTATGCTCCAATGAGAAGTTCCAATACTTGTGACAAAATGATTCTCACACAACCAACTCCCATCTCCAGGTCACCATTTCCTTTAATTTCGAAAACAAATTTAGGTCAGTTTAGATGTGATTCTTCATACAAGAGTACCCACAACACCAACACCAAGGTAGTAAGTCCACCACTTAGTAGAATCGAATACAACAACTACCAACTAAACAACAGAATTTCCAACAATACGAACGAAGACATGATTCGACCCAATTATGATAGACCACAATATCCTGACTGTATCTACAGGAACGATCCAAACAATAATCCCCAATTTAACTACAACAACCAGCACTACGCTAGTCAACTGAACAAACTTTCCAGGAATGCGCTAAATCATCTTGATGAGAATTCATACAGCTACAACCCACAATTCAAAGCAAATGTGTTGCCAGCTAAACTAAATGTTGGTGTTTTACCACCTAGTCAAAGAAGTGTATTTTCCTTCGAACAGTTTAATCAAATGCAAACCCAATGTTTTCCTTCAATCTACAATTCTTCCAATAATTGTGTTATAAGTTCACCAACTGGTTCTGGTAAAACAGTGCTATTTGAGTTAGCAATTTTGAAAGAATTTAGAACAGCATCGAGTGAAACTTGTAATTTTAAAGTTCTATATTTGGCTCCAACAAAAGCATTATGTAGTGAAAGGCATGATGACTGGACTAAGAAATTCAAGGACTTGAATATTACAGTGGGAATGCTAACTGGAGACACCAGCTTTAAGGAAGCTGATAATGTGAGGAAATCAAATATCATAATCTCAACGCCAGAGAAATGGGACATGATAACTAGAAAATGGGTTGATTATAAGAAGTTGTTCGGGTTTATCAAACTACTATTGGTGGATGAGATTCATATCTTGAAGGAATCTAGAGGATCTACTTTGGAAGTTGTAATAACTAGAATGAAGCGTATTTGTGTCGGGTTGAGAATACTCGCAATTTCAGCAACAGTTGCAAACGCACATGATATTTCAACTTGGATAAAGCAAAATGAACTTTCGGACTTACCAGCAGAGACTCATTGTTTTGGTGAAGACTATAGAGCCGTTAAGTTAGACAAAATTGTTTACGGATATAAACCCACTAGTGAAAATGACTTTCAATTTGATATGATCTTAAATTCAAAACTAATAGAAGTTATCAACCTACATTCAAAGAATAAACCGGTGTTGATTTTCCGTCCAACAAGAAATAGTTCTCAAGCAACAGCCAAATACCTCTTGGCCAATATGAACAACCATGCACCTCTGGAAACTAATTTAAAATTAAAAGACAAAGAGCTACATAATCTTGTTAGAAGTGGGATGGCATACCATCACGCCGGGTTAGTATACGCCGATAGAAAACAAATTGAGACTGCTTTTTTAAGCGGTAAAATAAAGTACCTTTGCAGTACATCCACTCTCGCAGTCGGAATTAACTTGCCCGCTTATCTTGTCATTGTCAAAGGAACAAAATGTTGGGCAGATGGTTTGTTTAAGGAGTATTCGGAAACTGATATTTTACAGATGCTTGGTAGAGCAGGACGACCCCAGTTTGAGGATGAGGGTGTTGCAGTAATTATGACCACAGCAAAATTGAAACAAAAATACGAACGCATAGTTAAAGGAACTGAAAAGATAGAAAGTAGCTTACACTTGAATTTTCCTGAGAATCTTGCTGCAGAGATATCAGTTGGGGCAATTAAGAATCTAGAAGAAGCCTTGCTGTGGGTCAAAACTACATATTTATATGTTCGATTTATTTCAAACCCATCTTACTATATACCTTCATTGGGAATCAAATGTATTTCTCCAGATGAAGAAGAAACATTGCTTCAATTTTGTCGCTATCATGTTGATGCACTTCTTACTGAGAAACTTGTTAGGGTAGATAATCAACAAATTTATCACAGCACACCATATGGATACTCGATGACAATGCATTATATCATGTTCGGAACAATGAAATCATTAATAAGATCCAAGCCATATCTAAATGTTCCTGATATTCTTGATTTGTTAGCGAAATCTTCCGAGTTTTCGGATTTCAAATTAAAAATGCAGGAAAAACGGCTATACAAAGAAATAAACTCTTCTCCATTGATACGATATCCGTGCAAGTCTAAAGAAATGCAACATTTTGACAAATTAAAGTTAATAATACAATTCGAATTGGGCGGACTTGAATTTCCAAATTACACTGGTGCAATGAAATTACATTCTAGTTTTTTGGGGGACAAAATTTTGATCTTTAAGCAAATTCATAGAATAATTATGGCAATGATGGATGTCTTTGTAGAAAAGAAGGATTCCTTATCACTAAAAAAGCTGAGTTATCTATATCGATGTGTAAATGGTAGATGCTGGGAGGACTCGCCAAATGAACTTAGCCAACTCGATGGAGTGGGTCTTGCAAATATGGCCAAATTTGTTAATCATAATATTTTGAGATTAAAAGATGCAGATGAGTTAAATTCGAGCCAGATAGAATACTTTCTAGGATTGAAAATGGGAGCTGGAAATAAAATAAAGAGAAATCTTCAATCGATACCAAGGTTATCGTTGGAATTACAATTTGAGAGGGAAGAATTAGAACCCAGTGATGCGTCAGTGAAAGTCACTTTCTCCGTCATCATTAATATTTCAAACCCAAATGCGTGTTCCTCGTGGAAAGGAAAGCCAGTATATATACAAGTTCTAACTGACACAAGCAACGGCAAGTTATTAGATTTTAGAAGAATTCCGGTTTTCAAGTTCAATAATGGGGACTCTAAGAGATTCCAAGTTGTCGCATCTGTTACAGACTTGGATTGTCATTTGCTTTGTGAAGCTTCCGCTGAGAATATTGCAAGTGTAAAGCTTGATCAAACCTTCTCCTTGAAGTCCAAATTGAGTAGTGAAACACGTTCAAGATTTATACAACCAGAAGTATTGGAATTCGATGATGACTTTGAATTTAGTGATCTGGAAGAAGAAAAGGTCAGCAACATTCAGCTTTCAAATAGGACAGATAACACATCAATTGAAAGTCAACAGACGGTTGAAACTCTAAACAAGGCTCCTATTACTACCACTCAGACATCGACGCATCATTCAGAGGCAACGCTGGGACCTAGAAAACTTCTTCCTAATGGCAACTATGAGTGCAATCACTTTTGCAAAGATAAACTTACTTGCCGGCATTTTTGTTGTCGTGAAGGTTTACCACCAAAAAATGTTCCAAAGGCTTCTGATCACAAGCAGCTGCAAAATAAATTTTCGCAAAATTTGCAACCAAATTTTATTCCAAATAGGGAAACACTTGGCGACAGACATGAAGTTGATACATGCAATCAATTGGAAACACAGAAAAACCATACAACGAATGATAGTGATGCAATTAAACATTCTGAGCGGTCGATTCAACTAAATCCGACAGTCTCTGCTATAAGGTCATCAACGGAATCTGTTGAGATTGCACAAAACGACCAGGAAGAAACAATTGAAAAAGTGGTAACACAAAAAGAGCCTGAAAAAATAAAAAAAAATACAGAAGCCTTGAGGCAAAGTCTATTTATGCCATCTGATTCAGATCACTCGCAAAATGAATACATTCCAAATACTCAAGTAACCAATATACCGATATTATCCCAAAGGGAAACGAAAAATTCAAAACCAATTAAGAAATCAATCTTTGACTCTAGCGACTCCGACTCCGACTTTGGCGTCCTCAATATTATCAAGAGTTCACCAAAGCGCAAAAGAAGAAAAATATTTACAATAGCTTCCCCAGAGAAGACTAATGCTGCAAGAATGAGCGCTGTGACTACTAAAGAGATACCAACTTCAACTAAACTTGTCCAATCTTCCAATCCACAGGATTCGGACGACTCTTTGATCGAAGTTGACGACATTGGACTAAAGCTAGATAAGTATCGGTGCTGTACACCATTGCACATCTCCATTACGGGAGAGGATAATGCTACTACACTTTACACTGAAAGCGAACAGGGTGATATATTTCCACAATTAAAAGATGTAGTTTCAAATGAAGATTACAAACCAGCTGAACAAGAAGCAACAACTATACACCCTATAGACTTCCAAAGGGAAGCTTTGCAAGAAATACTTGGGTTTGACATTGATCTCGATATATAGCTAATTAAATTTCTGGCCCAAGGTAGTTTATAGTTACCTCTCGAAGGAAATTTTCTGTTATTTTCATATGATCCGCTTCAATTGATAAGAACTCGACTTTGTTTTGTTCATGTAGTTGTTTTAATCCAATATAATCTCTTTGATACAAATCTGTCTCAGCAAATGGAATGATTGTACCCGTTTCAGGATCAAAATCAATAAATGCTGCACTATCTTTGGGCACCAAAGTGGTATCTTCCGTAAATGTAACAAGAACCAATTTGTTTATGCTTGAAAAGTTATCTCTATAAGTTGAATTTTTCTCTACTCGTTCGTTATTAATATCAGCCAATAAGTTTGAATGTTCTAAATATTTATCTATTTGAGCCCGATCTCTAAAATATTGTGCAGGGATTACTCGTTTCTGTACACTATCAAACCAAACTTGTTTCTTTAATAGTCCGTTTCTTGCTTTACATAACCAATCTTTAGGATCTTTACATAAAGGAAGTTCCATAATTCCAAGATGTGGTGAACCAAAGGTTACCAAATTATGCACTTTAACAAATGGACATCTTTCAATCAATGCTCGGATAAACACACCACCTTGGGAAAATCCAATTGCATTAAACCCTCTTTCAAGTTCTGGGATTGTAGAAAGTGTTTCACAAACCTGTTCCAATTCCACATTTGCATCTCCAAACATTGATCGTTGTTGATCAGTTGAAGGATCTTCATCAATGGCAATGGAATAGACGAATGTATCAGGATAAATGCTATTAATTATATCTTTGACTTTATTCATACCCGATGAATTATAATTATCTCCTAAACCGTGCCATAAGACCACAGGTTTCACATTCTCCACATTTGTTGTTTGATGATTATCTATACTAGGTAAATGATTATTGATATCTAGGCTTACTTCCGAAGGAATATGATTTATGGATGCCGAGAGAAGGGAAAATACATGTTGAAAGTTAACTATCCCTGATAAATGCATGTTGATTGGATGAATTGATTATTGAATGGCATGTACGGATGATTTACAATCCCCTGTGAGTAAATGTACAAAATCAGGCACAGCAAAAAAAAAAGAAGATTTAAAACCTTAAATCTAAGCTTTTTTTTATCTCATGTGGCAACAACCTTAAATATTTCCATAAATATTCATAAATACATTGCAATCAAATCAATTTCAATCATCACTATGATCATTTAATCAATAAAAAAAAGAAAATGCTCCACGGCAGGCTCGAACTGTCGACCTTCAGATTGCACAATAAACGAATTTACTATGAGACTGACGCTCTGCCAACTGAGCTAGTGAAGCAATTTCTGAAATTGTGGATTTTTTGAGAAAGTCGTGTGTGACAAAATCAACTATTATATGCAGTACGGACAACCGTTTTCGGCAGTCTTCAGCGAGCACACCTAAGTGCCAGTCGGAATCAAGCATCAGATCTATTTTTTTTTACATATACAATCTGTCTATTGAGTTCTTATACATACTAACATACAGAAATATAACAAACAGAAAAACAATATACTTTAAAGGCAAAAAGCATCATTGCCTAAAACCTCATTTCAGAACCATCTTAGAGACTGAGTGTATAAGAATAATTATTAAGACTCTTGGAGGTGTACGATACCCATTTGCGAATGAATTGGACCGTGAGCTCAACGTTCCGGCCCCCTCCACGTCGAAATTTTTGAAACTTATAAAGGAGGGCGAGGTATCGATTTAGCTGCATTAATTGAAATGGTTGAAGGGAGGAATTGCAAATAAAGAGGCGTAGCCTCCTTGGTAGTGAGCGTGGACGGCAGAGTTGCCAAAGAATCTTAGTGACCCGACACTTTGTGTAGACATGATGGGTGTAATAGCGACCCCAGACATAACGACCACAGAATTCACATTCACGGTCGGAATGATGCGTAAAATGACCCAAATTGAGTCGGTGAACAGCGTCCATACCATCCGGGTAGCAACGTTTGCCATGAGCCAAGATCTTAAAAAATTTTACCCAATCAGCGGGATCCAAATCATAAAGATTAGACCAACCCTCCGGGATAACACATTGCTTTGCTTCAATATTAAATTTCTTTGAACGACTGTTGAAAAAGTCCCCCGGTAAATCTGCGAATAGTGGTGGGAGAATAGTAGAAGGGGGTGACCCGAAGAAGTCCCTATATTCATCATGTGAAAAATGACTCGGCTGTGCCGTATATGTTTTAAGGCAAATCAATGTTCAGACAGTTCGTAAATATCACACTAATGATTAAGAAA